TTGCACAAGTTGTGAACAGATGTATGTCCAGCTGTAGGTTTTGGATTTTTAGAGGAAGTTCCCTTCTAGCAGATGGCAGCTTTCTTTTATCTTCATCAAGCTGTTTACTGAGTCTGGTTTTACTTCATTAAGTTAGAACTGATTTATGCAGTTGTAAGGGGTATAATTCTGACTTTGCTGGTGATGTACACGACCATAGGATTTGGCTTACTGGATATCATTTCACATCCACAGCTCACAGACTTTGGTGGGAATGGTTTTACCTGGCAGCTATGCATAAGGGCCTCTGTGGATATTCAGTGTTCTAGATCTGCTTAAAAAAATATAAAAAAATTGAAATTTCACCTCTGTATTAGGACATGAGATTTATGTGATCGTCTGGCTGGTCTGTCAGTCAGTATTTCCCTAATGATGGGGTTGAGCCCAACAGCTAATTTCAGCCAAAAACCTAAAACACAATCTCCTGCAGCATCTGTGGATTTTTTTTTATTTATTTTTTTTTTTTGTCAAGAAGAAAGATCCAAGATCCAGTAAGGAAACAGCAGGAGATTGCAGCTGCCAGAGGCTCCATGGGGTAGGAAGGAGACAACTGTGCAGCATCCTCAGCTCATCAGGGTTCTCCTTGCTGGGCAAGGCTATGAGTAAAATGTGTCAAGGGCATGAGTTACTGCTCTGAGGATTTATTTTCAGCTGAGTTTGTATGCCCTAGAAACCATGTTTGCTCCTGGCAAGTTCCATGTGATTTTTATTTTTTTATTTTTTTTTTTTTTCTTGTAGCATCAGACTTCATCAATCTGTTCTTTAATTCTCTTTGTCGGAAAATTGAGCAGAGGTACTTCAGTGGGATACTGAGAGATTTAATTAACTTTTACAAACAGAGACAATAATGAATAGGTGATAAGGACTATAAATGGAAGTTCAATACTAAAGTGTAGTATTGATTTGGAGACATCTGTCATTCCAAATCTTAACATCGAAGCATCAAGGCTACTTTAAAATACAACAAACAGAGGCAACTCTTTGATTTCTTTAAAGCCAAATGTGTTGTTTAATGTAAAAGGGATAAGAAAAAAATAAAAGGAGGGGAGATAAAGTGGCCTCCCCCAGACCCTGGACTCCTAAAACACAGTCTGCACTGTTATTGATTTTTCTGATTTGCCCTTCTACAAAGGAGTGTCTCCTGCTCTGCAGATCTGATTTTCTACCTTTGCTGCAGAAGTGTAGGGCTGTAAAGCTATGGTATAATGGCTCTTTCCCCATCTCTAAAAGGTTCCATATTTCAGGCCACAGAGGATCTTTCTTCCAGAAAAATAACCTTCACAGGATGACATGCCTTTCAAAAGGGAAGCACATGAAGTCCCTGTGTGACATTACTCGTATGCTTCTACATCCAGTGTGTCAACAGGATGCTTTTCTGTTTTTCCTTTGTGCTGTAATAATGCTCTGCTGCGGGAGGTGCAACATGAAAGGCTGCTCTTTAGAGGATTTGAGTTTAGAACTGTGTGGAACAAAAACACAGCAAATCAAATAGTATTTCCAAGTAAAACCATTGAAGAGAGACTGTGATCACTTTTAAAAGCCTGTATTTCTCCATATCTCAGGTAATTAGGCACCACACACGTACTTTGTCTTCTGGACATAGGCAGTGTGGATTTGAATTTAGAATGCAGCTCTCTACTTTTGCCTACAACAGGCAGTATTAAAAACAGATTAAAATAACAGCAATAGAATTGAAAAGGATGTTGCAGAGAGTTTTATGTATATATTCTATTTTCATTATCTTTTTTTGTTCCTGTGCTATGTGAAGAATTTGAAATTGAGTTGCATGTTCCTAAGCCTGAGTCCTATTTTGCTTTTGTTCCACTTGAGGCAAAGTACTGAGTTTTAAGAAGTGAGGAAGGTAATTGAAAGCCATTGTTTTATTCACTGATTAATTTCTTCTGCTGCAATACTTTTTGATGCTGATTTAATTACCTTAGTTTGTAGCTCCCCTTGTTCTTGCTTTATTAATTAATTAATGTTCCACTCCTCTTCAAGCAGTGACATTTCTTATTGAAAGGTCATTTTGAAAGGTAGGGATGAGCAAATAATTTATAATCAATAATGCTTTTTGCCAAAAATCTTTGGGAAGATTGTGAAATCTTGGACCTGAAATCTGCATGTATCTTCCTTCAGAAACAGCTTTCTGTAAGTGGCAGATGCTTTTGTTACACATGCAGGGGGATTTCTCTTCCTGATATTTCGGGTAAGGGGATTCAGCAGCACTTTAGTTAAAATTGTCAAAAAGGACAAAAAAAAAATTGAGAAAAAGTCACTAAGACAGCAAACCTATCATCTGGCAACCCATTCCTGGTTTAAAAAAATCTAAACTTTCAAACACCAATTTCAGCCTGGTGACATCAAGAAGACAGTTTCCAAATCACTGGAGAGAGACTGTGAGAGGCAACCACAGAGAGGCAACCAAATCACCAGGTGCTGTCGTGAGCCAGCTCCAGGGGACTCGGGGGAGGGCCCAGGCTGCTGGACCTCAGTGCACCCAGCAGATATTCACACTGGGACTTTGCTGTCCATCACATTTGCTTTGCAGCCCAGTGCCCTTGGCCAAGGCAGTCCATAGATGTTTGTATATGCACTGCCTTGCTGGATCTTTCTCTATATAAGATTTTAAAGAGGAAAGCTGTAAGTGGAAAGTGGTATCTGCCATGGCAGCACTAATTTAGAGCATCCATACCTGACAGCTGGCCCCAAGAGAAGTGTGGTGGGGCACATGTGGGGCACCAGGAGGGTGTCAGCCCAGGGCAGAGCCCATCCCACTGCCATGAATGGTGCCTGAGGGTCCTGGGCTGGCCCAGGCTGTGTGAGGACAGCAGTGCCCAGACTGGGACAGTCTGTGATGCTGCTGAGCCTCCAGCTTCAAAAGCCTGATTTCTGCTCCCAAAAGACAGGTTTTCAAAAGGAATTGTAGCCCCATAAGGCAGCAGCTACAGGTTCAGAGTGGTGACAGGGACATGACTGGAGAGTGAGATGTCTTCTGTGATGACACCACCTCTCTTTAAGTCTGGTGTGCCTCTTGTGTGTGTGGGGGAAGAAGGTGACATGTGTGGGTCCACACCCAGTACCCACCACAGCAGCAGGCAGGGCACGGGGCTTTGGCAAAGCTCTGGCCTGCACAGCTGGGCCTTTGCTGCTGTTTTTTATATGTTCCCCAGCCTCTCTGTAGCCACAGTCCACCCTGCTGCAGTCCAGAGAAGGAGGAAAATATTAATAGCAAGAACTACTGGGACAAAAACGAATCTCTCTCCTTCCTGAGATGGTATTCCAGCTTTATTCCGGGGATTGCGTGAGGAAAGAGGAAGAAACTGATAACACACTCCTTTTTGAAGTCAGGGAAAGGGGGAAGGGTCACAGTCTTACAGCCAATAAGGAAAAACTGGGGAGGAGGAGATAAGGGGAAGGAGCTAACATTCTGTATTTCAGGGGTACATTCCAGGATTATACCATTTTTCTAAATGCATTATAACACTTTGCCTGTTGAGAGGTTCAAGTGATGGGTGGAGGAGGGTGTGCTGCTGTTCTGACAGCCTGTTCTCACAATTGTGCAGTGCAAATACAAGTAGGCACTTCCTTAGTCTGCCTAACCAAGCTTAATGGGAAATGTCCCATGTGTCCAGCAATGCCCACCTATCCAACACAACCTCCCACCTGGAGCACAAGAAACAAGTCTGTCTTCGTGTAGGTTAAGCATTTTGTGAGTGTAGGATGTGTGATTTTTACCTGTGGGATGAGATTACAATTCTGCAATTCCCTTTGATTTGAATTTATCTACAAGGTATCTTGGATTGAATGAGCTAGTAAAGCTAAAATTGTTATTGGCCTAAGTTAAGCATCAAAATAGCAAGAAACCCAAGTATGTCACCTGTGCTATTTAAGGTTTTCAGACCAGCTGGTTTGGACCTATTTCTGTGTATCATTTTTTGAAGTACGGCAATAGACAGGGGTTTTGTAATGGTATGTTCTTTACTTGGGTGCTGAGAGTACTCAGCTTCTGAGCAGCTCCACAGCACATGCCTGCAATGATAGAGTCTGACTGAGATCTCAGGCTTTGCTACCTAAAATAGTTTCATAATATCTCTTGTAGATGGTTTCATCTGAAAAGCGTATTGGCACTGGGAAGAGAAAGAAAAAAATGTAAATACTTATAATAAAATAGTGATTGACTTAAAAATGCAAATGCATCTTTAGGATCAAGATTTGGTAATGTAGGGACTTGAATCCTCCTCAGTGTCTGAATATTTTGTTAAATGATTTTGGTATGAAATCTTCAGCATTAGTTTTGTTTAGCTTGAACTTGGGTCACCTCTGAAATAACAATTTCCTTAACTCTCTATTCATCTCAACCACAAAAAGTATTTTTCTCTATGCTATCACACAATAAAGTTATCTCTACACATAAAAATAATTAGTTACTATTTTTATTTGGAATTTTTCTTTATTACTGATTGTTTAGGTGGTTTATTGGAAGTTTTGAAAATTGTATCTGTAGATCATTTCCAGAAAGTGCTATTCAGTGATACATCATAAACACTGTTGAGCATCAGCAAAATACAATAAACTAATTTGAACAAGGTTAATCCAACTTGCTCTGGGACTTGTACATTCTGTTTCATCTTAAATGAAGTAAAGTTGTTAATTTTGTGTAGTTTTCATTTTGACATTAACATTCTCTTCTGTAAAGTGTAATTGTCTTCTTGTTTGTAATACTGTAGTCATTTTAGTTAGGGCAGCTCTCTATAGAGAAAGACACAGGGCCTTCCTGGAGAACTTGCTACACAGACCAGACAGTCAGAGGACACTCGTGTGGTATGATTTGTCTAAGGTCATACAAGCCATCAGCAGAGTGAGAAGCAGAATCCAGATTGCCAGAACCTTATTCCAGTACTGTATCTAGTGACCATGCTGCCTCTTAATATGTCTCTGCTCTTATTGTTCTTTCTTTCTAGTTCGGGATCGGGTACGATCTAAAATGGAGAGAGATATTTTGGCAGAAGTGAACCATCCTTTCATAGTCAAGCTTCATTATGGTAACTATAATAAAATATAATTCATGTTTGTTCTTAAATTGGTTGGGGAATTGTGGCTAGATGTGTTACACTTTTGTGCAGATATCCCCTGCTGACTTATGATGGTTTCTAACAAAGTCACATAGAGGCTGCCTGTGTGAAATTCTTCTTTTAAGCTAAAGGAGACATTTGGTATTTGTAAGTTTCAGCCATTCCTTCATCAAAATAAATTTGTCATGAAGTCTGATGTCGTAGGTAGTGCTGGTGGGGTAGCTCGTGAGTTTACATCTGCCAAACTCTTAACTGCTGTCAGGTATTGTTTAGAAAGACAGAGAATTTAAATAAAAGCGGGTTTTAATAATCAGTACCAGTCAAAATTTTATAGGTGTGTACATGAATGTGGTGTCATGCTGGAGCTGCCTCCTGCCACGCCAGCCCCACTTTCACTGTAACAGATATTCTGAGGACATTTGGGTGTGTGGGCTCTCCTCTCACACAAACCTGGAGCATCTCTCTATGCCTCACTCTCAGTGACTCCTGATACCTTGTGGAGTGGGAAACACTGGTAACTCATAGGTGCTTACCATGGAAATTAATGCATTGGCAATGCACTGTTGTCTCTCAGCTGACACCATTTTTTCCCATAGCCTAAGCTCAATTGCTAAGTTCTGTACAGAAATGGTTTTATTTGGTTCTCAAAGTTTTGAAGTGACAGTGAAGCAATGGCATGAATGATACACTGCTACTCAATGGGACTTACTCGTTGGGAATTTATCTTGATCCAACATCTTCATCCTTTTCTAATGCAGCATTTCAAACAGAGGGAAAGTTGTATCTAATACTAGATTTCCTGCGGGGAGGGGACCTTTTCACCAGACTCTCCAAAGAGGTAAGCTGATAGATCTTTAACTCAGAAATTAAAGACTGTCTTGGATTTTTAGAACTCAGATTGAGCTTGTGGGAATGAAAAATGGCCTTGGGAATAGTCATATATATATATATATATGTAATAGAGTTATCTCATCTTGCATGGTTAAGTGGGTTCTTAAAAATTGTATTTGAATCATGCCAGAGGTAATGCAGCAGATACCATGTAGGCATCCCTGCCAGAGAAAACTGCACCACTGCTAAGCCATTCCTGTAGCAAAATAGCCCCAGACTCGATGCTTTCAGAATAGGTCTTGGATGTGATGAGGCACAGTCTGAGAAATCAATCCCCAATATATTCTGCCCTCGGGATGAGCACAGAACCACTGGAAAAACACATGCACTGCCAGCAGAGGGAAGAGATGGCCGTGGGCCAGGGCCAGCCCCTGCAGCTGCTGGGAGCAGGTCAAGGGCCGCGCACCAGCCCGGACATGGGAGATTGACTATCACGGCCCTCACCTGCCCTCCTCCTGCCTGCTAGGAGCAGCTGCTGCTTCCATACCCTCCCCAGGCTCTCATCCCTCCCCTGTCCTCTGCATGCCATGCCCCTGGAGAGGGACTGCTGCAGGCAGGGAGCATCCCAAACCCGAGTCTCACTGATGCCCATACAGAGCAGCCGCAGTAGGTTTTCTAGGTTCGTTTAGCTCTATCCTGTATCTCCAAACCTCTGCTGGTGGGACAGCAGTCCCAGAGAGGTCCCTGCAAGAGTGCAGGAGGCTCCAGTGAGGCAGAATGGCTGCCCTGCAGTTGTCTGTGCCCTGGTGTTCTCTGTCACCAACAGGATGTCCCCAGAACCTTGGTACTTTTCAGAGTGTGGGGACAGGGGTATGGGCAACCACTTATCACAGAGTCTTTAAAGACAGGAACCTTTCAAACGCCATTTTGAGGGGAAGCTCTGTTGCTCTTCTTGGGTTTGGGGAGCTGCTGATGGACTAAAAGAGCTGTGAGAACAGTATTTTCAATCAAAAGTTCCCTAGCTTTCCCTCGATCCTTTCCCATTCAATTCCTGATTCAGTGACATGCTGCAGGATGTGTGTACTGCAACTTGGGACCCCAAGTGTTTGCTTTTAAGGCTTATTTGCTAATGCCAGAAGACAAGTTAATTATACTGCTGAGCAATGATCCTTGCATAAATATTCAGTCCCTGGTAGCAGTTGTTTTTAATATGAGGAAAAAGATTTTAAAAATTTAAATTTAAAATGTCTTTCTGCTATTGTCACGAGAGCAAGCTTTATTAGCGAGGCAGCACTGCCATCTCAGCAAGGGCCTCTTTGGTTTCATGGAAGAAGACAGAAAATGTGGCTCTTGCCTAAGAGGACAGGTCCCTGTTCTGCACAACCAGGGAACTCAAAAATTGGAAGATAATAACTCAGACTTTGTACTTCTTTAAAGCTTCATGTTTTCCCCAAAGTTTTTCCATGGCAATTCACCAACTCCTGTGCTGTATACCTTCATTAATGACTTATTAAGCTGACAGTGAAAACATACTTCTCTTTTTTCACTGTTTGCAGCTCACCTGCCTATACTTTGCAGCTGCTTAGGAGCAAGGTATTGCAAGGGAGGAAGTTCTGGGAAAACTTGAAGTGTTTGCAATTTGTTGTTATAGATTTGGTTGAAAGGTGTTGATTTCAGTGGACTTTCAGTCAGGTCCCATATACATATATTGCATGCATGCACATAGAGCTTACCTATTTCTTGCTCTGTCTTTTTGAGACATCTGACTTTAACTAGGTGTATATGTATAGATTAGATTTTTCCAGGGTTCTACTGATTTAATTTCTTGGCTACATTATTTACTTTAAATCTTATAAATAATTAAAATTTCTTTTAAAATTAATGTAATTTTTACATTCAATACAATTAATTTTGAGAGCTTTTGCTTGTGTATTTATTTATTATTTTCCTTTTGCTTTTATTTCTAGCCTTTGAAGTAAAATTCTTAATTAAGTTATGTGACATCTGTTCTCTGAATCATCTCTTTTTTCTCTCAGATGTCTGGAACTTCACAAAGCACCCAGATATTTTGGCTACCTCTTTTTGAGAGTAGAGACTTAATTTTAAAATTAAGCTCTGCAACTTCTACTGTAGAATTTACATATGACAAGTAAATTTGTATTGAGCTGACTCATTTTACTTCAGTCATGCATAATCACACTTGTGTATCCAATATATCAGCTTCTTTTTCTGCATTATTATCTCTGTGCATATTGAAATTGAATTAAAGAGAGCATCTGAGATATAATGGAAGTTGAACCAAAGGGGTTTTCTGCCATCTGAGTTTTTGAGAGCTTATTGGTTTTTTGATTACAGAAGTTTCTTCTCACCCAAAAAGCACAGCTTTCAGTGTTAGCAATATCTGTATCAGCTACAGAAAACATTGTCTTCACTTGGCACCTCATCAGGCCCTGGATGTTAGACAGCACATCACTGCTTAGGGCATCTGCACTGCATTCCTTGAATTTCCAAGGCATGAGGTGTAAAATTCATCTCTGAGTCTCTTCATGCTGCACATTCTGCTCAGACTTGAAAGTATTCCACTTCCCCAGAAAGGTTTCCCATGCTATTTCATGGAAATTTGGTAACCAAATGACAAGATTGTAGCAAGTTAAGGGATATGAAAGCAATATGGGCTGCACTGAATGTGTTTAATTTTGCTGTTCTTTTCCAAAGGCTAAGGGGTTATAATTTATTCCTAATATTGTGACATAATGTCATCTAAACAGATCAGATGAATGAGAGCAGCATGTTTAAGGAACAGAGGTAGTCAATAGATCAAGCTTTGTTTTAGAGGGAGAATCTGGTAAGAATTGTTAACGTAAGTTCAGACAAATGATGGAAAATTTAACCTGATATGATGATCCTTGCAGCATCCCCCTTGTCTGTTTAAGGCAAGCCAGCCCACCACTGTCCTATAAATAGATGTGGTCTTCTCTTCCTTCTCTCTAGGTGATGTTTACAGAAGAGGATGTCAAGTTCTACTTAGCTGAGCTGGCCTTGGCATTAGACCACCTCCATGGTCTTGGAATTATTTACAGGGATCTAAAACCAGAAAAGTAAGTTAACAAGAAAAAACGAACTGAAACATAAATACAGGAACTTTTAGGTTGCTTCTGCTCCTTGTCATGCTAGTAAATGAAGAGGTGCCTGGGGCTCTGCCTTCCTTCTTTGTGAGACTCTACACGAGACCGTCACTAACAGTGGCAGGGTTTTCCTATCATACCATCTTAGCATGAGGCCAAATGTTTTGACTGTGCTCCAGTATGACGGGACCTCTGTGTGCCTGGTCTTCAGTTCTGTGAATGAATTCAGTAAAGCATTCAGAGCCCTGTGCCTTTAACTTTACCATTCTCTGTTTGCAGCATTTAATCTGGCCTTCCCCTTGATGCAGTGTAAACCACTGAGAGCAGCTCCACTTCCAGCTCATACGGAATATGGCATGGCACCATTCAGCTTTAATGTAGCCTTTACTTAAATGAGCACATCTGAGAACTTGTGTGCCTGTTAACTCATGAGAGACATGATAATCAAGACTTTTAAAACACTTGTATTAACTGTGCAAAATATTTTCCAAAGTATTTGTTCTCACTTATATTTACAGCTATTTTTCACTCATAATGTGGTCCTAATTTTCCTTTAGCTTTTTTTATTTTCAATACATCAGTAAAGCAAATGACACCCTCAGTGCTATCACTGGGAGTGATGTGATACTGTTGTTATTCTGTGCCTTTGCTTGGTGTTTTGCTGGATTCTGCTGTGATGACTCAAATGAATCAGGCTGCAACATTCCAAAGTTCCTTTCTAATGTAATAGTCACCAGCATTTATAAAAGATAAACACTGAGGGCACTCTGTTTGGCAATTGCTTACACTTTTGAAGTCTAACAGCACAGCAGCATTTTCCTTCTATGACATCAAACTAAAAAATACGCAGCTCATTCTTTAAAATGGAGTGTTACTGTTTCCACTCTCATGGGCAAAACAGGAGACCAAAAGTGATGGAAGGTGGACTTGGTAGGTGAGAAGCTGAAGGGGAGGAGACCGTTTATCTCCATTGCAGTTCTATGTGACTTAAATTTTAAATTCAATTTTATGTTTTGGTTAGAAAAATAGTAGTAGCAGCAGTAGTAGTACTCTGAAATCAACAGATGTACACAGCAAGCTAGAGGACTTTTTGCAGTTGACCAAATTTCCAATCTTGCCCATTTACGCAACCAAAACTGGAAACCAGAGTCTTTGGCAAATATGGGAAGTCATCCTACAAATTAAACAACTGGAGGGAGAAAAGTGTCAGTTTGTTCCTGATATGAAATGCAGGTAGGCAGTGGTAACACCACAACTGCTGCAGCCACAGGGCCTTGCATCATCTGCCAGCAGCTCCTCAGTTTCAATTTCATTCTGAATTGCTGTTTTATCCATTCAGCATTATCTTGGTTTGAAAAGACAGGTGTCTGCTAAGGAAGGCAGGAGCCTGCCTTGAAATGGAAAATGTAAACCCCCTCCCTCCAAATTATTATAATTTTGAAATTAAGGGGCTCTCAGGCAAAAATATGGGAGTAGGAATAACAGTTCTTTACAAGTATGTATAAATAAAAAGAAAATCTGCATCTTAATAGGAAAATCAAAATAAAATGCAGTAGTATAAAAAGACAAGGCACTGTCAGAGTCAGAATACAGCCTGACACCCTGTTGGTCAGGCTGCTGGTATGGTAGCACTCTGATTAAATGGTGGCTGCAGTCCTCCTGGAGTGACAGATGTGGTTCTTTTGAAGCAATGATCCTGTAGAAGGGTGTGGTTTTCCTCTGGAGGTCCAGTGATGGCGTACATGCATCCAGTTTTCCTCTGGAAATCCAGTGGAGAAAGGCTGACTGAAAGGTGTTCCGAGTCTCAGATTATATCCAGGTAGGAATGCTTGGCTCCTCCCCCTGGGTGGAGCATCTGACAATGGGATGATGGAATTTATCAGTCATGCAGTGAGACTCAATGGCCCATTAACAGAAGCTATCGCCCTGGAGGGAGGATGGGTTGTGGAAGAGATAAAGAACACTGCCCCACCTGGTTTTAACAGCTGGTAATAGAATACATCTGGTTATAGCTTGCATTGCAACTCAAAACAAGCATCAACATATACACAATAGAGTAACTCCAGTTATAGGTTTTCTCTTTTAAACTTTGATTCTAGTGAGCATTAGCATGAATCATGTGCACTGCATTTCTCTCTGATGTTGGATGAAGCTGATTTTTGAGATAACACATGATACATGAATCTGCTATTAGAAGATATCCCGACAGACATGAGCTGATATGAGATATGTTGCAATGCTGTTACATTTATAGGCATATGCTTTAATTTTTTGCTTTAGAAGAAGTTGGAAACCAAGGAGAAAATTAAGTGTATGTCAAAATTGTTCATCATATTTGAGATACTGAGAACTGGATTTTTCTGAGTTCTCAGCAGGAAGTATCACTTAGCATCTCAAAAAACATCTCTCAATGACTGCAGTTGCAAGTGAGAACACTTTATATTGCTGCAGACCAAGCTGCAGTGCTTCAGATCAGGGATCAGTGAATCAAGAATTTGGAGCTTGTCTAAGGAAGGAAGGTGTCACTGATTTGTCATTGTCACATAGAAGCATATTGAAAAGGTACAGATGGAATCCAGTTTTCTCCATGTTTTTGTCTTAGCTGAGACCTGCTATTCCCTTCACTCTACCGCTCTGCTAAAATCTCTCCCAGAGTGTTACCAGTCTGCCAACTGAGACAAGACTTCTCTGGAATAAAATAAAAAGTATCATCACATAACTGAAGACCTTTACACAGAGAGATCACTGTGTAAAGTTAAGGTGGCAGCCCTCACTCTTGCATTTTCAAACTTTTGTATATATGTTTTATGGTCTTTGATGTACATTTAACTGGATTAACTGTAATACAGTTTAATTTGGATGTAATTGATCTAGTGTAAAATTAGTTTACATTAATATAACCCTTATATAGGAAAGGGAATGACCCAGAAGTTCATACCTGGAGATAAAGCAAGGCCTCTGATTGAAAACCGTATCTTCTAAAAATAGCTCTGTAAGTGCAAAGCCCATGTGTAGTCACACCTAGGAGAGCAGAGCATGACAGCCCATGATTTCTCTGGAAATTTAGATTTCCATTAAAGAAATAGATACAGGAGAATAAAACAATTACTCTTGGGGAAAAAAAAATGCTAAATTTTTGAGTTATATCTGGGAAAGAATATCTTTCTAAATAAGATGTTAAAAGAAAATTAGGACCATCCCAGTATGTCCTCATCCTTCCCTTGCCCCCTGGCAGGATCAAGACAATAACAGGTGTGTTGCTAACCTAGGCTTAAAACAGCTGGTGGGGACTCCGTACTGTGCCCAGGAGGCCTCTTAGCAGTGCTCCTGCACTTGTTCATCTAAATGTTGCTCTTAATAGCCAGTTTGGAATTTCTTCTCTGCCACTGTAGGGCAATGCTCCTTGGCCTGTCCTCCTAGAGGCCCCAGCCTGGTTGTTCTGCTCTCAGCAGAAGTCTCAGGGGATTGTGAGAGCATCCTTTTCCTTAGACCCTCTTCTGTACCCTAAACAATACAGATACTGAACTCTTCTCCACTAGTCAGTCTTTACAGGGGTTCAGTCATTCTCATTACTCCCCTTTGGTTTCCCTTGATTCCTCTCTCCTTTGAAGTGCAACGTGCAGGATCACACACGCTCATCTTCAGCAGAGTCATTATCAGCATGATTACAGTACAAGGTTTGCTCTGTCAGATTTGCAGAAATGGAGATAAATTAATTAATTCATAATTTCCCAATTCTCTCTCTCTTTCTCTCTCCCCTTTAATAAAGATAGGCACTGCATTAGACCTTTCATTGTTCAGTGCTTTTTGATGTTATTCAGAAGCTCCCAAAAGTAACTGCCGATAGGTTTGAGTTCACTTGTCAACTCTCTAAGTGTACTAAAATCAAGCTCATTTGAATTGTTTATGCTAAAAAAATAAAAAAGGAAAATAAAACAGCACTGTTCAAACCCTCAAGAAGAACCACTGGAAGAACCCTCAGTACATTAAAATTTAAGGTTCAGCTTGCTTTTTTTTTTAATATTCCCTGAGCAAAAATCCATGTTAACAATTCAAAGCTATGAGTTAATTTCTAGTGCAGCTGGGAGTTGTTCTCAAGTCAGCTGTACTTACTTCAAAAAGATCAGTAATTGAGCTTTCTGGTTAAAGTCTTGTTTAGAACAAGCAGATACTTCTCTTGAATTGTTGCAGACAAATTCTTCTCCTTGAGTTGTCTAGGTGATTTCAGTGGCATCCCTTGTGGGACAGGGTATTGTTCAGTCACACTGGGAGCCCCTGAGTTCCTTACATGGTGAGGCACGTTTGTACTTAAGAACTGAATAACCAAGATAAAAAATATGGTATATATACCCTGGTATATATGGTAAATATAGCAAAATAGAAAAATGGAAACTTATTTTAAAGTAGTCTATGATGTATATGTTATTTCTTATGCTGTGGTTTAAGGGTATAAGTGACTTAGAAATAACTCTACCATCTGAAAATGGACAAACTATTATTAAACTTTACCATTTATTTTTTCAGGAACCTAGATGCACCTTGAGTTCTGGAATAGGGGCTTAGGTTAACAAGGAGTGATGTACATTTTAAGGCCATCAGTTGTCTACACGAGGGACAGTTCATATAACAGCTCATATAACAAATTCAGATACATTGAACTATGCTCTAAAAAAGCCAAACACCACTTTTTAATGCAATGTGTTGCCATGACTACTGATTTATGAATGTAACTGCTCTGTGTAGAGAGGGGAGATCTGAGAATCAGTAAAAGACTAAGGCCAATGGTGGAAAGTTTCCATTGATGAAAGCAGTCCCTTTTTCACTTCATGGTGTCAACGAAGCTACAGCAGAGAGCAGGGTGAGATAGCATGGGGTCATGTGGGATAGGATGAGGTCATGCAAACACTGACATGTCCCAGAACACTGACAATTTGTGAGAATATTCATCTCTTTAGTAGATATTTGACTATTTCATCTGGTACTTTCATAACAAAATGTGAAATGAATTAAAACACTCTTGATAAAGTCTCAGGTTTTATTTCCCACCTGAAAATTTGACTTCAGTTTCTGATTAACATAAAGTGTGGGTTGAATCTTCTGCAAAATTGCTCTCACTTAGAAAGCAACTTAGATCATCCAGAAAAAAAATACAAACACAAAAAAAACCCAACAACCCAACCAAACCAACTCCATAGTTCCAGCTTATTTGGCAGGACTTCACATTGATTTGGGGATGTTGGAGCTCAAACTGAAGCCCAGAAGATATGACTCAAAACCAGAAATACAGAGAGAGAGAGAAATGGGAGAGAATTGTTCAGGCCTTGATTTAAGACATTATATAAAACAAAGCCAACAACCCATAATGAAAGATTTTTTTTCCCTGTGTTAAAGTTGCAGCAGAAAAGCTGATATGGAGTTTGCAGTCCTAGCTTTGCTATGAGACTTCTCCTATAACTTGGACTATGTCATTCCTCTGCTACAAATTTACCTGCCCCAGCCTCTAGCATGGAGATTCCCAGCCTTTATTTTCTCAAGGCATACTTTTAAAATGAGCTCAGTGAAAGCATATGGTGTTTGAAAATTTGTGGAATGATCCTGATGCTAAAATGTTCAATCATAGAATAATAGAATATCCTCAAGATAATCCCAAGAATCACACCATGTTTCTGTGTGTTGCCCAAACACTCCTTGGACTCTGTCAGGCTGGTGCTCTGACCACTTCCCTGAGGAGCCTGTTCCAGTGCCCAACCACCCTTTGGGTGAAGAAATTTTCCCTAATATCCAACCTAAACCTCCCCTGACACAGCTTCAGTCCATTCCCTCAGGTCTTGTCACTGGTCACCACAGAGAAGAGATCAGTGCCTGCCCCTCCTCTTGAGAAACCTGTAGGCTGTGATGAGGTCTCACCTTTTATCTAAGAGACACCCTTATTTTCTGGCATTTTTTGTTCCAAGCCTATGTGTGGTTCACGTATTTATGGTGTTAGTATATTTTTCACCTAATAACTGTTACTACTGCTTTGAAGAGAAGGTTGACAATGGCAAAATCCTGTAAAAGCACTCAAGCATTAGGCAAAACAAATAACATGAAAAAAACCTCCTAGCTAAAGTTTATCACTTAGTGTGATTGACACCTAGTTTGGCATTTAAAAGTAGTCTACCTTTTATGGTTCTTATAATTTCAAAACATTAATTTAGATGAAAGATTATTCTCAAGCCTGAATCACGTTAGAACTTTTGGTTCTTTTTCCCTTTCCATAGAACAATACTGTCTTTTTTCAGATTAGTTTATCCTTCAAACCATAGCTAAAGTAATTGTGATTGTCACAATAGAATGTCTGCTATGGATATTGTGGGATAAAAAAGAATTGTAAAGTGATAAAGATACAAAGAGAGTATGATCAGATAATAAGTTTGCCTCTACTGTCACAGGAAAACTATTTGTCTGTTGTTGTAATTTGTATTCTTAGAAGCAGACACTTTGTTCTTTCCTTCTTAATTTCCCTCTAAGATAATTCAGTGCAACAGTTGCCTTTTTTTTTTTCCCCTCACTATTAGCATATTGTTTTCTTTTTACATGAAATATAATCTTCGATTACTAACTGTAGCATTATTGGTGCTGCCAGATGGCAAAGGTGGAGGCACCCAGATGTCCAGAGGGTGCTGCCAGGGGCCACAGAGGAAGCTGCCAGCAGCTGAGGGCATGGTAGAAGGGTGATTAGGGAACATGAGATGGAGGAAGGAACTGTAGATCATGTTGTAGGGGATATAGGATACACATCCATTGGAAACCAGGATCTATTAATTTTGCTGCTCATGCAAACAGTGTGAGAAGGAGTTGCTGTGTGTTTCTGGCAACCTCAGACAGTAGTACCAGTCTGAAAGCTCTGTTGGTGTTGCCTCTATCCCTTTAATTGAGAGTAAGGTGTGAACCCTTTAATCAGGGCAAAGTATGGGAAACATACATAAAGCAGTATATATTTGGTATTTGTACATACCAAAGCAGCATGGATTTTCCGTAGGAAATTATGAAATTATGAAATTTAAAGCCTATTAAATGTTAAATTAATGTTTCTGGGGAAATTCCCACAACCTTTGAATTGCAGTTGTTCACAGAATCTTCCTGGGTGTGTGGCAAAATTTTGGGTGATTTCTGTGAGCTCTATTCCCACTGCTGTTTTTCCAGGTGCAGGTCTGGAGAGTTCATACATTCGTGGTCACTTCCACAATGGCAGGTGTTTTATTCTGTTCTCTTCTGAAGCACAAGTTTAGGGGTTGGAGTCACAAAAACACATTTAAACATGCCTGGTAACCTAGTTCTTGAAAATTACGTGTTCAAGGAAACTGCAGAGAAAGAATAAAGAGAAGATGCTTTTATGGAGGAGGAAAAAAGGCTTTAATTGTTGGACTTATGGTACTCAGTTGCTGGCCTTTGATGACTTGTACAACATTTTTTTCTAAATACATGGATGACAGAAGAGCATCTCTTTTTCATCCTATTTTCTTCCTGAATAATTAGATTAAAGTGATTCTCTAAGAGAAGAGGAATATAAAAATAGCTGGCACCATGCTAGATCAGTTTGAAAAGAGAAATATACTAAGTCTAACTAGGACTGTAGAAAGACCACCTTCATTACTATGTCAGTTTTTATTTACCAAAACAATTCTTTTTCGAATTCAGTATTCCTTCTTGTTTCCACAAAAACTAGCACTGATTTTTGTGAACTACAGAAATTTTGGAGTGCCTTTGTGAGGAAAAAATATGTTGGCAGGTGGCAAATGTGAGAACACTTGAATTTGGCTTCCAGGCTGAATTTTCATCTGTACTCTGGACAGAAAAAATAAGCAGAGGCTGAGATCCACGCAGTTAGGCTGTGACTAGTCACTGTGCTCTATGATGACTTTTATTACTTCAGTATGAACCTTTGGACTTAATTTTAGGTCCAGTGAATCCAAGCCCTGATTATGTGTGTGATTGCCTTTTATTATGACAAGAACAGGAAACACATAGCTCCTTCTCCTGCTGGAAGGATATACTCTGCAGCTGTTGGCTTTGAACACCCTGTTCTTTCCGAGCTCCGTTTGCATGCCCACCTTGAACATCCAATGGAGCACAGAGGAGGCTTCTCATGGAACTGCCTCAGGCTGTGCATGCTTCAGATATGAGATTAAACAAACCTCTGAGGTTCATTTCTCTTTCTGGAGCCATAAAGCCCATTAAGGTTTTGTTTATGTATTTGAATCTTGCATATCTCCTTACCTGACTTAAACATTTTTTATTCATGTTTTTTAACTTTGTGCCTGGCTAATGAATGAATGTTTTCTTTTTGCTTTATAGCATTCTTCTTGATGAAGAGGGTCACATTAAGATAACAGGTATGTGAGGGACAGAAAACTTCGTGCCTGTAAGCTGATTTATTTTTTTTCTGCAGTATGTTGCATGGATCCTGGTCCTTGGTTGGAAGGAGCTTGCTTACAAAGACTAGAAGCCAGAAGAGTTTGAGCATTAAGCTTCTCTGTTGATTTGTCAACCCCCATGCTGCACAGCACATGGAGAACATGGCATTTTCTTGGTGAAATTGTGCTCTTGACTGATGTGAAGCAGGCAGGTTTGGCTGCCTGCCACTGCAGATGGAAGGATGTTTCCAATATGACTATTTAATCCAGGCAGAGGATGACTGGAAAGACATCCCTTTGCCACTCTAGAGGCACTGTCTAACCAACCTTTTCACTGGTGTAATCTGGGATTATTATTCCTAACACTTTGGTTAGCTGTGCAACAATCCTCACTAGCGTTGCCTTCACCAAACCTGAACTGTATATATCTGCTTATTTAAACTCCCTTCTGCCTTGAGCCAGAGCCTCATTCTGACCAGGGAAAATGATATGCCTGTTTTCAGGGTGTATTAATAAGTGCCAGGCACTCCACGTAGGCACACACGTGTCTGTAGCCTCTTTCTGCACATGGACAGAAGGGCACTCCACCAGCTGGTTGGCGTGTATTGTTCAAACAATTTAAGCGAGCAAAAGCATAAAAAATAATTTTAGAGACCTGACAAGACTTTTTCTGCTTCAATTTATGTAGATTTTGGTCTGAGTAAAGAAGCCATCGACCATGACAAGAGAGCATACTCGTTCTGCGGGACAATAGAGTACATGGCCCCAGAGGTGGTCAACCGGCGAGGACACACGCAGAGTGCCGACTGGTGGTCCTTCGGCGTGCTCATGGTAATGCAAAAATCGTGCTTGTTTGCTGGAGGGCTGGCTGTGGGAGGGATCACATCCCTCAGATAAAAAGTGCAGTGTCAGTGAAGTTTTTCAGGGAGGTGCTGCACTCTCCTCAAGCCAGCCCCTTAAAATTAAGTGTTCGGATGGTAACCTGCCCCCCCCGACCCTGCACCCTCCAGCCTCTTCAGTCTGTGTGCTACTCTTGCTGAGGTAGAGGAAGAAAAGGTTGAAAAGTTGGTTTGTGAAGCTGTGATTTTTTTTCAAAGCTGTATGAACACTGTAAGTTTTTGGAAGCAGATGTTTGCAGCATTGTTTTATCAAGCAGAGTGCTGTCCCTTGAGCCCAGACACCAGGCATCTGCTCCTCTCACAGGGATATGTTTGGATAACAGCAGTGGAGCTGTTCTCTCCTGAGATGTACCCTGTGCTCAGGGCACGGCTATCACCAGGGCACCTCGCCGTGGTGCTCACAGCAGAACCAGGGCAGAATCAGAAATTAGCATAGCAATGTGCTCTTGCAATGCAGTACCATTTCCTGTGGTATGGCAGCTGTTTTTGGTAGCTATATATTACAGAACATACCAAAATCCATAGAATATGTTTAAATTTTGTTTTCCTGAAGCTGACAACTGATGCCACCAGAGGCAGTAAAGGAAGCAATGTGAAAAACAGTTAAATTTTGGTTTGGGGAGGGCCTACATCACTGATCTAGCAGGTTGGCAGCAGTTAATCTACATAAATATTGTCACTTATGACCTGAATTATAAAAGGAGTGGAACATCCTTATCTCCTGCAGCCACAAATCCATTTGTGGATGCTCAGCATTTCTGAACCATGTACGTTTATTCACAAAAATCAATAGGTTATGTCACATAGAATAAATCTATCTCTACCCTTTAACTTTTTTATTATATATTTATTTTTGGTGAATAGCTATGCCTTCTCATCCTTTCTCTCCCATTAAATGATGATGCATTTGGTGTATAGATTTGTTCTTTCACCAGCTAAAAAACTCTTAATAAACTGGACTACTACTTCCTCTCCGGGTTTTGCTAGGCATGTTTTTTTTTTTTTCTTTCCATTGCTCTTTTCAACCCTCCCCTAAGGATTCAGCATATTAGAATTAGAAAAGATAAGAATCCCTATAACTGGAGATGAATTAAAGAAAGTAAAACCCTTTTAACTCCAAGCTAATGCTTTAAGCCTTTAAGACATCTTAGAGAAAAATATGTCAGTCAGTTCAACCTTTTTCCCTTTTCAACGTTTAGCTGATTGAGACAGAAAAATATATATTTCCCCACACAAAACCTCTGGGAGGATTTTCTGATGCTGTCTTTCACTCTGCTCTTTTCTCTTTGTTTTCCTTGTTCTGTCACATGTATGTTCTATTACAGAAGCTGGTTTTCTGTCAGTCTGAAAAACTGAAGATAATTAAATGATATTCAAATGATTTATTAGCATTTCTTCCTAAGCACTGTGAAGTATGATGTAAAATAAATGAAGACAATATAATTTTATATGTATATATAATTATTTTATAATTAATTTTACTTTTATAATAATATAATAATTGTATATGTAAAATAAATGAAAGAAAATATACCAGTTGATGAAATACGCATAGCTTCAAAAGAAGTGTATGTGACAGTGAAATTTTCATATCTAAAATTTTTATCTAAAAAGGGAACATATTAGGCAGATAGTTACAGCATGGCCTGTATCTTCCTCATCATCAGAACAACGAAACACTCACTTGTCTGTTCTGTTCTGTGAAGGGGGGTTGATGTTACAGCCTGAGGAGCTGGGTTGTGCTGGCAGCTTCTTGCCAACCTGCATTGACCAAAGCACAGACTAGAATCAAACTGAATGATCCTTACACACTCATTAAATGTGGCCTGTTGTGATTATTAATAGCAAACAGACTTGTCTGAAAATGACTAAGTTCTGGTCTTATTTATTAATTGAGTTATTAATTGTTTTGTGAATTATTATTCACCAGGAGTTTTACTGTCAAAGCAGTAAAATGTCATTTTCTGCCAGCTAAGTCTTTGACACAAGGCCACACAACTGAAACTGTTACCTGCTCTGTTTCTTTGCTGCTCAGTTCATTTGAATTGTTTTATGGCATTATGCAGATTGTATGTCAGCAGGTACAGTTACACAAATCTTAAAATTTGCCCCTTCCAGCATTCTAGAAGACAGCCCCTGCTTCTCGTTCAATATGTGGTGATGACTGCTGAAACCCAACTATAATTTCTGCTGGTGAATCTATGTGGTTTATCATGAGCAGACAGCCTTTTCTGCCTTTCTATATCTTGTTCACTGTATTGGAGGTTTTGGATAGGATATAATCTGCAAAAGCTTTGCATCAAGAGATCTTCATGAACAAGTGTTTGGCCTGCATTGTTAAAAAGTTGAATATGTAACTAATACCTTTTCAGCTGCACTGCAAGAGTCTTGATGCCCACACTGCCGTCTCTGAAGCCCAGATAAACCGATCTGCCTGATCTAACATGTGCAAATCTCTTGGAAGGCCTCAAAAAGCAGTGCTTTTGTAGTTCATCCTGCCAGCTGATTTACAAGGTCATAGACCTTACCGAAGTTGCATTCTTACAGTTCAGGAAAAAAATACTGTACACCTTTGAGAGTCATGTGAGCAGAGAGGGGACTATAATTAGAGAAATGGCTGTGATGAATTGGTAGCAGTCCCAAACAAGAAAAAATATGTTCATAGGTGTCAGCAAGTAATTATGTCTTCACAAGAAAACAAAATGTCCCTCTGGTGTCCAAAGTATTCAGCTCTGTACTAATTTTGTAGTAACTATACAGTGGCATTGGAAAAATCAATGCAAGACATCAAAGTATTACAATCTTCTTTTACAAAATCCCATTATAACACTTGTTTTATTCCCAGTGCAAGAGATGGTCTTAATGAACGTTATTTTGAATGTTTATGCTTGTTGCTATGTTAAGGGGTTCAACCCCTTGTGAGCACTAATTCATTGAGTTTCACACACACAGATAGTGAAAAATATTTAATGCATTTTGCAAGTATTAAACTGAGTGCTTGAGCAGTTCTCACATACCTGGAAAATGACTGGAAGTGTTGAGAGGAGAACCTGGCCATTCTCTGTTTTCCAAAACTGAGTGGTCTCATGTTTCTTTGTACCTCTGAGTTTTATCCTATGATCACAATACTTCAGCAGACTTGGGCTGAAGTAGTTTGCACAACCTGTTCTCCTTCCACCTTTTAGGAAGATTCATATGGTAGTTACCCAGGCTGAAGATTTTTTCTTATTCATTATCTTCTCCAATAACCTTCCTGGGTCATTTCTTGAATCCTGAATTTCCTCAGGAAATATGGCACTCTTTTTCCACATTCTTCCCACATGTATGTCTTCTGGGAAGTGCTCATGTTTTGGCCACCAAAATTTGAGACTGCCCTGAAAACTAGAGAAAGGAAGCACTGCATAGTAAATTGAGACCTCAACAGGGGTTGGATTATGTGACACCAGAGCCCCCTTCCCATTGAGCCTAATTCTGTGGTTCTCTAAACAGCCAGCTGAACTGGAACAAAGAATATTTGCCTTTCTTGCACTTTCTTTGGTACAGAAAGGAAGTCAAGGCTGGAGGGAGGTGCAGCCTTCTGAAGTACTGTCTAACAGAAGATGGCCCTCCAAAACACCTGGGAAGTGAATTGGTGGGAAGCAAGGAGCAAACAGCTGGTTTCTACAGATGGGGAAGTAGGGAGAATGAAAATTGAGTCTCCCAGCAAAACTATTGGGACTGCTTTAATAGACAAAAATACTGTAGAGTTCATTCACCCCTAGTTCAGCTTCTTGTCAACCTGCTGTGACCCATACAGCTCTGTATCTATGTGCAAGAGTGTAAGCAGCATGTTCTCACTTCTGTTTGCATGTTCAGGTTTAGCAAGATTATTGACTTTTTGAAAAAATAAGCAGGAAGACAGGTCATTGTGCAGTGAAAGGATAGCTTTAACTGAAGCTATTGTTGAAACAAACAATTTAATATTTTTTTTCAGTCTTATTCTTTCATTTTTAACCTTCAACACATTTAGTCAGGCCTGCAGTTGAGAAGCTAATGTTTTCTTCCAGATACTGCTTAGCTAAGTTCATTGAAGTAAAAAGCTCTGGTACACTTAACTTACGTGCCTGCCTTTCACTTTAAATATTGATATTAAGTGCATTTCTTCTGAACCTGAATTAATCACAACATTAGGCCTGCACAATTGGAGATGTGGTAACAAAGTGCTGGCCATTACAGCAGCACAGTAAATGTTTCCTGCAGCCTCCAGGACAGTCATTCCCCCTGCTCTCTCCTGCAACTTAAATTTCTTCCAAATTCCTTCCTTCTTGTTTCCATCCCTTGCAGCCACAGTGCATTTGCAGGAATTCCTGGGATACTGGGATGGGTGGGAGCTACAGCCCTTTCCCACTGACCAAGCAGTTGCTTATATCTGTATCATCTGCATCAACAGCGTCAAGCCCATTTGTGCCAATATAAATGAGATGTAGCAGCCATTGCTGGTGCCACTAAATTCGATTTATAATAATAACAAAGGAACATGAGCAAGTGTAAGTGAGCATTAGGTACTTACTGTGAGCATAAACACTCTAGAAATCATGAGGAGGGTTTGGTACAATCTGTACCATTTATGCTGCTGCCCTGGGAAGCAATGTTCTCTGCCCCTCATTCCCAGTATATCTGAGCACTTTTATCAGAACTAAAGCTCTAATAGGTCAGGATTACTTTGAAAATAGTATTTAAGCTCATCTAGTCAGGTTTAAAAATTCTCCTCCATTGTGTTTCTTTGTAGAAAACCAGCTGCTTTCCTCCAGGTCTACCAGGCAGCCTCTTCTAACCCAAGCAGAAGTTAATACATTTGCTTTTTTCAAACCTTGCTTATATTTGGCAGCCATATACATTTTCTTTTAAGTGGTTTTAATTCTGTTTCTCCTATGTGTTTTAGTGCCTTGAGGTAATTTGTTACTAATGAAGATTAATCCTTCAATTAAGTATATTCAATTAGCTATCTGGCTTCTAAACATCTCCTCTGCCCTTCTCCCAAAATTAGCATAGCAGTTTCACCATTAGTTTTCTTCTGTTTTCTATATTTTTCTTCTGATATAGGCTGTACTTAATCTGGGCAAAAGGAAGAGTCAGGCTGTGGGGCAGTCTGACACAAGTTTTGGTAATGAAAGAATCTTAGCACAAACGTGCATTTTGGCAGCACTGTGGTTCCTTGTGGGATAAGACACAAAAGCTACATAAGGCTTTAAGAGTCTTTCTTGCCTTAGCAGATATTTGCTTATAGCAGTGAGTATTAATTATTAGATTAATTAATTACTCTAATTAATTAGCTTACTGTAGTACAAGAGATCCAAAGCCTGAGTGACAGGCACAAGTAACAGTTCATGTTATGTTCAATGGACAGTTTTCCTTTGTGTCCAAGCTCAATTATGTTCTTGATGTCTTTATATTTGGTGATGCACAGCCTTCAGCTTCCCTTAGCCAGAGAAAACAGCTGCCACTCCATAAAACACCATGGCAAGAGCTGTGTGATAGACCTGGTATTGAATCCAACTTAGGCAAGCTTCTTCAGCTGGGGTTTTGTCGGGTTTTTTCACTCCTTACAGATGTCAAATTCCTGTCAAATTTAATGAAAGTACTAATCTGTCTCCAAGGAACCATAACTGATTGATGTTTCAACACTTGAGTTAGGCAAATAATTGATGATGACTGTTGAGTTTTGCTTTGAGATTTGGGTTCAGTTAAATGTGGCATTTACGAGATTCATCACTGAGTACAGCCAGAGGAACCGAAGCAGGAGAGAAAAGGCACACTCAAAAGCCTTGAAAACGCGGGGCTTAGTCTTGTTCCTCCTGCAAAATATAGTAGAGACATCTTTACGTGGTGCAAATATACAATCAAAGAGGTGGTTTGACTCAACCTAGAAAGGTGGGGAGTGGCATATCAAATCCATTTTCCATGGTAATCTGTGCCAAACACCCCAGAAGAGCCATATCCATGCAGGCTAAGGGTCCCTCCATTCAAATACCTCATTGCCAGCATTGGTCATAAAACAGCAGGTGCTGGAGGAAACACCATATATGACACTTCTTCCCAAACATACCAAAACTTGACAATAAATATCAGTGTAAATAGTTTGTAACACGTCTCTGGAATGGAACAGTTATCCAGACTTGCTGTGCCATTTTTTTGTGAAGCACAGCTTGTTGGATCATTTATTTTCCTCTAGTTTTCAGTTGTGTTGGAAATAGAAGATGGATGTGGTGTCTTTGGGCTATGCAGACCATCCAAATGCACGTATGATTTACCATTTTGTTGCTACTCCACAGTTTGAGATGCTGACGGGATCATTACCCTTCCAGGGAAAAGACAGAAAGGAGACAATGGCACTCATTCTCAAGTGAGTATCAAAACTGCTTTCATTCTTCTAACTGCAAGTTAACTCTACCCTCTGAACACTCCATAGAGCCCAAGCATGTGATGGGTAGAGAATAATGATATGCATAATGAACTTTCCAAAGCCATGAAAGGCGTGAATTTAGTAAGACACACATGCCTGATGCCTGTGTTCAACTCTAAAATTGCCTTCAGAATAAACAGTAGGAAGTGAATTAATGAGAGAGCCTTACAAAATAAATTTATCTTACTTTTTGTGACAATGTCAGTATCCACAAAATGTGGGAAAGTCAGATTTCTTCAGGACATCTTATATTTTGTTGTTGCCAAGTTTCAAATCTTTCCCTTTGCAATGTCTCATTTGTTTAATATTAAATGCAGACAAAAGTATTTGAAGCTTAGCTTTGCTCACTAGTGCATTTTTTTATGTAGTGGTGAATGGCCAAGAGAAAAGTTTTCATCTCTTTAAACAGTATGCAGTTTAGTATAATCTTTTTAATTAAGTTTGATTGTTTAAATTCCTCCTGATTCCCAAATTTATTCCAGCAAACTAAAAAAGTAAAAAAAATTCCATAGGAAAATGACCTATTTAGGTTGCAAAAGTTTTATGAGATTCGTTAGATTCATTCTCTACCTCCAGTGAAGTCAGTGATAAAACCTTCCTTAAGAACAGCAGAATAAGATCAGCTTCTCACTCTGTGTTGCACTATGCTTAGGTAGCCTTTGGTGTGTCTGCCCATCCTGACTACTGCAGTTCCACTCTTTCAGCCACAGTGGGATGGAAAAAAAGCTTGAAAAATCTATTTTCTTTTCAAGTGTTGTGTTCTTTCAGAGCCAAGCTGGGAATGCCACAGTTCTTGAGCATAGAAGCCCAGAGCCTGCTGCGAGCCCTCTTCAAAAGGAACCCCTCCAACAGATTAGGTACGTGTGTGTTTGATCAGGACACTCGTTATGTGCTCCCTGCCTTGTCAGGTGGGGAGTTGTACCTCTCAGCTCATCTATTCCCATGGTTATCCTCTTCATTAGCTGGCATTTGGCATTCCTTCCCAGAGCACAGTGAACCTTCAGCATCACTAGAGGAATTTGCAATGAGTACAGGCAAAGCATTGAAATCTAAAACATGATAATAACTTGTGTTTCATTTTTTTGGTAAAGATGGTGAGTGAACTGCCAGCTTTTATGAATGATTTAAGATACCTGCTGTGTATGATGATATAGGGAACTGAGAAACAAGTGTGGTACAAAATCTGTATAATTTAGCTGCAAATCTCAGGTTTTGTCTCTCCCATTCTCAAATGCATTTCAATCCTGTCTCATTCTATTAGCTAAGGGCAGTCTTGCAGTAGACTTTATTCTTTATTACCCAAATACATCATCTTCTTTTTACTGTTGTTGATGCCTTAGAGTGGCTACCTAAAATAGAGGCTAGAGAGAGTTAAAGTGGGTATTTAATGGCCTTCAGTAGATACTCCTTGGAAAGTGCAAAAACCTTGCAGAGGCTACACCACAGATGGAAAATGGTCACAAGGTTTTCAGACAGATATAAGTTTGATCTATTTGCATATCAGGGGTTAATTCTCCAATTATAGCTTCAGGTAATGAAGTCATATTCCCCCAGCTCGTTCCCCTCAACAATTCCCTTTTGTTTATACTTTTCAGGGCCTGAGGCTGTGGTGTGTCCTTGGAACTCAGGCCTACAGGGGTTGTTTTGTCTAATCAAAACAGGAAGACAGTTAACTACACTTTATATGGAGTTTAGACCTATGCACTAATGCAGTATAGAATTTGAAAAATATAAAAGCTAAAATCTTAAGGCACCAATGTGTCTTCACCTTTTGTTAATAATCCTGTTTAGACTGTGATAAACTAAATATACACATTGAATAATGTATCTTATGTTATCTGTACCTTTGTTTACGGGTTTTATTAAGAAATGAATTGCATTTGATGAGGTCATGGACAGTGCCTATGGCTTATTGCCACTGCAGATTTTGTTGTTGTTCCCCACAGGCACGTGGGGACAACCCAATCAAGCCCATTGCTGTGTGGCAGTGAGGAGCCAGCCCTGCAACATGCCACTGTGGCCCCTCTCCTTCTGTAGGGATCCCATATGGCCCACAGAGGAATGTCTGCCCACTTGTCTTACCTCTCGATCTAAATGGTAGCCTTGTAGTCTGATGCACTGTAAATACAAGAGTAGAAAAACATGAGAGTAGAAAAACACATTTTCCCAGCAGGTTTCAATTGCTTTCATGCAGTGTGTTTTACCTTGGAAGAAATAGAGTATTGGGATTTCTAGATTTAATATCTGTTCAGGATAATTAGGTTCTGAACCAAATATGAACTTTTTCCCATTCCCTACCTCTGTTTCTTTCTGTTTCCTCCCTGTCTCCATCTCTTGGTTTTATTCCGCTCTGCTCATTTTCCATCCAAAATGGAGCTCCAGTGAAGTCAGTGGGAGTCTCTAGATACCAGTCCTTAAATAGAAAGCTACTCACTAAAACTTTGTTTTAGCCATAACAATTCCAGCCCTCATATATTAATAATGGGGAATTGCTAGGGGTCAAGGTTTTAAAACCTGAGGTTTATTGAAATACTGGGAAGGCTTGGAGGGGGAAAAAATAGAAAGAAATAAATTATTTATAATACAAACATCCAAGGAAATAAAATCTAAAAGACTAACAGAAGAATAGATCTTAACATTTCAGGGATAACACTGGAAAGCTCCTGAAGGCATTCTCTGTTTTAACTGATTGAGAATCAGCACAAAGGAAGATGGAAAAGGACCTGTTGGTAACAAGAGAAGAAAAGCTTGAATAGTTGGCCTAAATACTGAACAGAAGTCAGTAGATAAAAGAACTGCTTCAACCTTGTGGATTTTAGCTTTTTCTGGGAAAAGAATAATAATATTAAAAGAAAAGTAAGCTTAGACATCCAGTTTTGAAAAATCTTTGGAAAATTAATGAAGCATGCTTAAATAAATGAACCATATTATGGCTCAAACGCTTGATTTCAGCCATTGTTTCATAGCTTTGCAAATATGGAAAGTGCATTTAGTTCCAAAATCCAATTTTAAACATTTACAAGAAAAAAAATGCTTTTTGCCATCTGATTTTGGTATCTTAATAACCAGAAGTAAAGATTGATGATGTATTCTGAAATTTTGCTTTGAAATTTTGTTTTGAAGCTTTGGATTATTCATTGAAGAAATATTAGGGTTGAAGCAAGTTAGACAAGACTGAAAAGAAATTTAGTAATCTGATTTACTTGCATCTATTTTTAAGCCTGATGCCCATATTAATATTTGTGCCAAGTTTTTAAGGAATGGAAAGTCTTCCTTTGGTATCCCTGCTTTTGGCCACTGTCTATTTTCTGTACAAGTAGTCTGCATAGCACTGCTCTAAATACAACAAATTTCAGATTATGGATGAGCATAATTTTAAATTCTTAAACTAGCTGAATACCTAGGCAAATAAGGAGTAAGCACTCAGAAGTAAAACTTTATGATGAAAGTGTTAGTTTTTTACATTTCCAAGAACTTAGGCAAGGGACTTGCTTTAAGGGCTGGATCTCCTCAGGTAAGTAAATAAAATATTTATTATTTAACATTATTATTTAATAATTCCATATTAAAATTTTATTTTATATAAAAAATATGTTATCTAACAAACTCCCTATACTGGTGAGCAGTATAAAGTGTCAAGAGTCCTTATAATTGAGAAGCTCAGCCAAGAAAGTTTAAAATAAAAGCATATGCCCATAGGCTCAGAGTAAAAGCCAAGGAAATCACTACTATTTTCTTAATCCTATGTTCTCAGGTAAGATACATTCTGCCTTGGCACATAGAAAACTTTTGGCTTTAACTTTATAAAATGATGAGTTTAAGCAGAAAACAGCTTTCACCTTTGTCAGAGTGACTGTAAAACTTCCTTGTAAACCTTAGAAAAATACCTCAAAAATTCTAGTTCACTAAAAAGATTCTGAAGCTGTAGAGACACTAAAATTTTATTATCTGAAACTAAAAATTTGCAAACTCTTTCTGATGAATTTGAATATCCAAATAATCAATTTCAGGTTCCTTAGGTCTCCTTTCTCCCCCTTAATATTTCAGGGCTTGTGTTGTTCACAATGTTTCAATAATCAAAACCAATTAAAAATAAAACATTCTACTCTTGCTGTTTGTAGGCACTTTTATTGTGGGCATAAAACTTAGATAATAATTAAGTTCTCACTAATGTGAGGCTGCTATTATATAAATGCACTCTATAATGTTTTTAAACTGGCAATTTGATCTGAAAGATTTATTTATCTTCTCAGATCCTCATGGGACTGGATGGCACGTAAGAATTTTTGTAGGCAATAGGTTTGATTGTGCTGATTATTCTTGACTGATAGCTCTTTTTGCTAAGTTGAAGTCAAAGTGAAGTTAAAAAACCCAAACCCACTAGAAACCTTGAGGAAGGTGAAAGGTTTGTGGTCATGCAGTGCGCTACTGCATGCTGAGCTTCAGATGTTTGCTGAATACCCATCTCTGTGCCAAGAAATGTCCATCTCCATACAGCAGGCCTTTCCAGTCATGACCTCTGCAGGGCTTTTCTTCTCTCCATGAAGGCACTTCTCTTTGCAGTAGATTTTCAGATTTTAGATTTTTTAGATTTGCAGGTGGCAGATGAATGGCTGAAACATGCTGAGCAAATCCAGAGCGACTCCACCATAAGCACTGATGCCTAATGTCTCCCCAGGACTTCTGCAGTGGGGTCAGGGCTGTCCTCCTGGTCCCAGAGCTCTTCCTGAATGCACCCTTGGGCTGCTTCCCTCCTCCAGCTGAAGAGAGGACCAGGCCACACACTGCTGCCTGCAGCCACAGCACACAGTCCAGGAAGGAGCTGTGGGCTACACCAGCAAGTCTGGTGGCAGGGAAGGTCAGGGGATAAAAGCTGCAGGAAGTGCTGAACCTTCTCCGTAGCATAAAATCAGTGGCTAAGAACTGGAAGGAAGCCACTCCTTGCAAAATGAGGCTATTACCTCATAGTGCTCTTTCATATATTAAGCCCATGCACTTTACCACGTATTCCTTCTGTGCCAGAGCTGAGGTGGCCCCAACTGGGAAGTTAAACTTTTTCAAACAAGTGCCTGCCTCAGCTGCATGCTTGCATTTCTTACCAAATACTGCAGCCCCCACTAAAAGAAGTAGCTGTGGGTGGACTTTGTTTTTTCTTGATCCTTATTTCTGTAGGTTTGTGGAAAAAGGAACAACAACAGTAGCAAAAAGTGTGGCTTTCCAATAGATGGTCTGAAAAAAGCGTGTCATTCCCAACACACAATGACGTATCCATTAGGCTAAGCAAGAGGGAAAACAGAAGCAGTGGGGAAGGGGTAGAGCAGAGAAAACTGAATGCATTAGCAATTATCTTCAGTCTAGGATGTGCTACTAGTGTCTTATGGTGTCTGAGCACTTATCACAGTCCTGCAAAATCAGTCTGGCACTTGAGTTTCATCCTGATGTGGTAAACAACATTTACTGCACATTGCAGTTTCCAAACACCATCACTGAACTCGAAGCATTTTTCACAGCTATTTATTTTCTGAAGATTTGCTTAATGTAATTCTCTTCAGAGTAACTCTGTTCGTTTTGTCTTTCTGTTGGCATTGCTAAAATCAGAATGAATCTGCCAAGAGAATCTTGCAGACTTCAGACTGTGCATTGAACAAAAATATGCTAGGGAAGTCGTAGAACAAGTCCTATTCTAAGACTTCTTATTTTCTTGTTCAATACCCATGGACCATAAAAAACTGCCTAGGGGCATGTAAGAACAGGATAAACATATGTGTTTCTTCACCCAAATTTTCTCCTACCCTGTTCCTGCTGTAAGGTCAAGCAAGGGGTTTCCTTAGCATCTTGTGGTTAGTCAATGAAGTAATCTTCAACAGATTTCTTTTCAACAGACTTTTCTGGCTTCCCTATGAACCCATAGAAGTATTTTGTGCCCCATCATCTTTTCCAAGTAATTCCACATCACACAACTGTTTCCTGAGGAAACATCTCCAGGTTCTTCTGAACCTGATTCCTAATGGCATCATTTAGAGATCTGTTTTATACTTCCCTGGTCATCGGTTTCCAGGCTGAAAAGTCCTGACCTCCTCATTCCTTGTTGGCCTTCTTTGATTTTTCCTAACTTTAGTAAGTACACTTTTACAGGGGAATGTGTCAGCCACAATCCATACTCCAGTTGCAGAAATGCAACAGTTACATAGTGACAGTGCAATGATGTTGTCCCTTTCGTCCTCTATTATTTTACTAAGGTTTGATTTCATGTTGTGTTTGCCTAGAAATGTCTGTCTGTCATAACCCACAGACTCCTCAGCGGGGCTGATCACCTCTGAGCACATCATTTTGTATTGCAGGCAAGGATTGTTTACCCTCATGTGCATCACTTGTGTTTGCCTTTACTGAAAGATTACTGGGATGGGGAATTAATCAGGAGATCATCCCTCTTTGCTGTTTTCCAGCAGGCCTAACAGACAATCCTGCATGTTATGTTTACAAAGTGTTTGCTTCCCATGTTCATTCATCAGTGAATGTTAAGCAGGCTGTAGGAAGCAGTTCCTGATCACTGCATTTTGACAAACATTGATAATGATCTTGTACACAAGGAGAGCAGACATCACATTTTACAAAAGCTTGAATTGACAAGGCCTTTGTAAAGCTGCTTGTAATGCTGATCTTCCCAAAGTACAAATATTGCACGTATAAAAACCTGGGTCTTCTGAGGTGCTGAGTGCCTCTTGCAAGGTGCTTAGGAATTCCAAATCCTTTTGGTAATCAAGGTTGCTCAGCATGCTTGTGAAGAAGTAGGCTGGGTACCCTTCAGGAACTGATTCCAGAATTGCAAGGCAGAGCATTTGCTTCCAGAGCTCAATTATCCTTGAAATGAAAATTCAAGGTTCTATTAATAAGGTCAAATCAACTCCAAAAATGGCATTCTAATTCCGCTCTGACAGTTCTTTTAATTATCACTGAGTACCTGTTTGGTTCTGTGATAGCACTGAAGCAAATAAATTGAGCTAAAAGAATAAAAAGGTCAATCTTCAGTGAAAACATAAGGCAAAAGTAATGGAGGAATTAGATTCATTACCAGATCTCAGAAGACTTTCCCTAAATTTCCCACAGTAATGTAACATAAATTTAATAGTGAAGGAAACATAACACTGAGAGTGATGATTTTGGTACTCACAGGAATTTGAAGACAGTATATAAAGAGGGGGAACCTAAAACCCTGGCTTACCTCAAATAATTTTGGAGCCTTCTGGCATTTTGGCATTTGTAGTGCAGCTTTTTGTGCCTGTGAAGAACAGTAACTAGTCAAGCTTGGAAAGTCAGTGTGCATAGAAAAGCTGCCACTGGTGGAGCCTTGCCAGAGTGTCGGGCAATCCTGGGGCCTTTCCTGACCTTGCTGGTGCGTGCATTCTGCTGTGGCTAAAATCCCGTGTCTCACCCAAAGCCTTGTTTTACTTTTCTCTTAGTAGTTAGAGAAAAGTAAAAAAAAAGTAAAAGAGCCTTGGAATCAGAGTCTCATTAATGAAGTGCCCTTGGCTGTATCTATGGCAGTCTTTACTGTCATGGCAGCTGCACCATTCAGAATTTCTTGACTAGAACTGTTTAGATGGAGACTCTCACTTTGTCAGAATAAAACTGGGGATGGGGGGGGAGAGTGCAGAAGAGAAATCATGCAGATCTCTAATAAGCATGACTTCATTTTGATTATTTTGTTCTCTTCTCAGGTGCTGGATTTGATGGAGTGGAAGAAATTAAACGTCACCCTTTCTTTGTTACTATAGACTGGAATGTAAGTGGAGCAGTGTTATTTTCCTCTTAGCTACATTTTTTGAAGACAAACTGCCATGCTTAGGAATAGGATTACTTTCTCTAACAGAGAGAGCCTAACTTCTCTAACACAGAGAAGTTAGAGCCTTTTCAGCGGGTGCCTCTGTCTCTCTTGTGTGCACGTTGGCATCAGTACTCAAAATTGGAGCAGTTGATCAAATGAAACATGATTCAAGTAAGGCATGTCAGATGTGATTAACAGAATGGTAAACAAGGATTTATTTTATTGCTATCAGCTACAACTCATAAAGGTGGCGGTGCAGATTACCTGAGTATTTGATTTAGACTTGTAAGAGGTTAAATCTCACATTTTCAGCATTGTAATTGTTCAAATTAACTCATTCTTAGACAAACCTGGAGGCAAACATTTTTCATTCTTGATCTGGGCATCTGCCAGTGCATCAGAGCTGCTGTTTGCCACATCCCCTAGCATTTTCTAGTTTAATTTTATCCAACTTGTGTTATGGTATTGTTGTGTCTCTTCAGTATTTAATGCATTCACTCACGAGTGCTAGTACAACAGATAACATTGATGTGGTTCTTATGATAAATTCTGGTAAGACTGAGTGAATCTTATGTGACAGAGCCATTCTCAAACTGCTGCCCAGGACTTTGCAGAAAAGCTAATTCCTGTGTGAGACAACATTTTGTAGTGCCCAGGTAGCCTTTGAAAGGCCCACAAACCCATTTATTTTGGAAAAACTCGTTAGAAAGATCTAATTTGAGTTGCATGTTGAAGAGTTGCCTTAAGTGTATTAAAACATAATCAATGAAGGTGGATTTTGAGACTTTCCTTTGTAGTCCAGCTGACTTTTAGTCACATTAAATATATTCTGGAGTCTAGAGTGTCTTTCCTTTTCTGCTTCTTACTAATCATGTGATTCTGTATGAAGACTTTACATTTATGAGAACAGTAAGTGAAAATAAAACATAGGGAATCCAAAGGCTCAGGTTGTTGTTGATGATGATAATGATAATTATTAAATAATATTATTAATATAAATAACAATAATATTGTTTTCTGTATTCTCCCAATATCTCTGCAGTCTTCAGCTTTGCAATCAAAATACGGGTCAGATGACTACATCTTGATGTAATAAGAGGCACTGTAATCTCACTGTAACACTGAGAAGGTCTTCCTCCCCTCCTCCCTCCCCCCCTCCTCCCTCTCTCCCTCCTTTCCTTCCTTCCTTCCTTCCTTCCTTCCTTCCTTCCTTCCTTCCCTCCTTCCTTCCTTCCTTC